CATTATCAAAATAACTAGTTTCTCCCGATAGTCCTTTCTCTTCTAAAAACTAAACTGGTTGGTTTCGTTAAAACATAAATAAGGAAAAAGGTATCCTATTTCATGTTCAGAAACTAAAATGAAATAGGGATGCTTTATGTTATTTGCTGTATGCATATAATTAAAAACCCATATCCTAAGTTAAATCTAAGGTCTGTGGTCAGTGGAAGATAAAATCTGGTCAGGAAAGTCAGCATGCATGCAGAACACTGTTCCATTTGTGAAATGTCACCAAAGGTCAGCAGGGGCCGGTCAGCGCTGAGCACAGGACAGAGGCCCCCAGCCGGCACGGTGGGGGGCGGGCCTCCCGGGATCTCCTGGGGTTGTGATCACGGCAAACTCGGGATTAAAACCCACGAGAAACTTCTATGTGAACGCTGGGAGAAAGCCATTCCCTTTTACACTCTGATATTTTTGGCTTCTGGGGAAGGGATATTAGAGATTTAACTTCTTGTTTATTAAACAAAACTTTCCATTAAAAAAAAAAGTAAAGATAAAGGTGAAGGTAACTATAGGCCAAGATGTGGCAAATTCACTTCCTCTCCCAGAGTCCCTTTCCTAAATGTCTCTAGGCATGCACTAATCACGAATGCTCCCTCCGACAGACCAAGTGTGGGCGAGCGCGTGCAGTCCCCTGCGGGGGGGCGGGGGGAGGGAGGGGGTGATCAGCTGCCACCTTCGCTGGGCCTGCGTCTCCAGGTCCCGGGCGCCGCGCGGGGGGGGGGGGGGGGGGGGCGGCTTCACGCTCTGGTGCAGGCGGGGGCTGCCAGGCCCTCCAACTCCGTGTTAAGTCGGCCGATCACCCACTCCAAGGCCTCGCGACCCTGCCGAGAGAACAGCACTGAGAAACCCCCCGGGGGTGCGCACACCTGCCCGGTGACATGCAGACCGCCGCGGTTCGGGGTCCCAGCCCCCTTCTGTTCTAAAGCTTCTGCCAGAGGGCACCTCCTTCAAGTGTTGGGGTGCCTACCGAACATCATCAGCTCAACAGCAGTGTCCACAGATTATTTGTTGTGAAGCAATACTATACGATTAAAGTTGACCTTTTGCATATTTTCCAAATTCAAATGCGAGGTTTAATTTCACATGGCTCGGCCACCCAGCTTCCATGATACCGTATCATACAGCACTTGTGCTTGGGCTGGGGGTGAATTCCAAACAGAGCTGCACAAATACTGAATCCATTCCCAGACCAAAATGAAAGTTACATAGCCCAACTCTTTCATACTGAAGAAATTTTGAAAATAACTGCTACCACTTTCTTAATGACTACCTTAACATTTTTTTTAAATTTATAACGGAAAGCAAAGGGGAATTAAAAACCCAACACGTGCCTATGCTTTTTTTTTTTTTTTTGCCTATGCTTATTTTTACCACACTTTCAAGCCACCAAAAATTGGAAGTGGCTGAGTAACTGACATGTACATACCCTTGCCCTAAACATGCAGTCTTCCTCGGAAACTACACTGGGGTCCCCTGCACACTCTAGCCATATGGAGGAGTCAAGACAATCTACCTTTCCTGATACTCTTATCCCTGCTTCCCAGTGTGGTTTCCCAAATCACAAATTTCCATGTTCCCCTCTGGAACAGAACCCCATCCGTGACAGTTTTAAACCATTACCTCTGCGAGGCTATATAGTTACCCTCCGTGGAACAGAGTTACCTACTAGTGCAACAAGAGGCTGTCACGAGAGAAAGGGGTCGGTGTCTCGGTTGATACTGGCTCATGGGGGCAGAGTAGGGTTTGCAGCGAAGTGACAGATGTTCTGCCCTGCACTCACTGCCTTTGCAAATCCGGGGTTTATCTGCAAGGAGCCCTCAAATCCTTCAGGAATTAAGACTTCAGTGCTACACAGCTAAATCTCAAGGGGAAACTTTTTAAGACAATGTTGCTTAAAAATAGAAAAAAGACAGGCACAAAACAGTATATACAGTATGGTTCCGTCTGTGTTTAATAAAAGAAAGGAAAGAAAAAAACAAACAAACCATAACTTGCATTTGCATAAAACACCTCTGGAAGCCTTCGTAAAATCGGGAGTTAACTGGCAGAGGCCAGGTTCTCCTCCTCTAAAGGGGAGGTTTTACTCTTCGAGTCTTGTGTTGTTGGTTGGTTGGTTGGTTTTTTACCATAAAAATAGACTGCTTTTATGTATTTTTTGAAAGAATATTGTTTATAAAAGCCAACAGAACTTTGATTTCAGGATGGTGGGAAAAAACCTTTGGCCCTTTGTCCACAAAACTATCAGGAATACAACAGAAACACAAATGAGAACCCACGGAGTCAGCATCCTCGCTGGCCACCACAAGAAGGTCGAAAGCCGAGGAAGCCGAGGCGCGGGCTGTGAGGCAGTGGAGGGGATCTGACACGAGCCATTCAGAGCCTCGGGGTGTCCAGAGAGAGGGGACACACGGGACCGCAGGGGAGCCTGGCTCTTAGACCCTTACTGCTCCCCTCCCCCCACCCTCCCCACCCCCCTCAGAGTTTGAGGAGTCTTGTTGGGAGAAATGGAACCACTCCAGAGAAAAGGTCATTGGCTGTCAAGGAAAAAGCCAAGGACAGCCTCCAGTGTCACCCTGCAGTGACCCCTAGCCGTCATCTGCCAGGAGCCTCACTCCCCATCCGCACCTCGGCTCGTGTCAGGTATGTCAGGATGAAAGACAGCTGGGGCAGTCTCCCGTGCGAAGGGGCAGAGAGGAGACACTGAGCTGCGGCAGAAGGCTGCACTTCCTATCTACTTCCGCAGAGAGAGCAGGGAGGATGTGGGAAGCAAGAACAGGCGCCATAAGGAACAGAAGGTTAAGAAATTAAAAATACAATTCGCCCAAATAAAAATGAGTGAAGTCCAGGAAATCTCCCAAAAGGTAGAACACAGATGAGAGAAAATATAAGAAAATTACAAGATCAATCTAGGAAGCTAACATCTGACTAAGTGGACTTCCAGAAAAGAAGAAGAGCGAATAGTGGGGAAATCATCAGAGAAATCATTACCAGAACCAAAGGGACCACCCAGTTCCCGACACAATGAGTTGTGGGGTTTTGGGTTTTTATGTATGCATGATACATGTATGTATGTATTTGTTTACAGCTCTATACTTATATTTTCCTCTTTTTTAATGAAATGAAATTCACGTAAGTTAGCCATTTTTCAAGTATACAACTCAACGGTATTTAGTATATTCACAATGTTGTGCAACCATCACCTCCATCTAGTTCCAAAACATTTTCATCACCCCAAAAGGAAATCTCAAACGCTTAAAGCAGATTCTCCCCCATTCATCCCTCCCCTCTCCTCTTGGCAACAACCAGTCTGCTTTCCAACTATATGGATTGTCCATTATAGATATTATTTATACCTGGAATCATACAGTATGTGGCCTTTCTTGTGTCTGGCTTCTTTTATTTTGCATAATGTTTTAGAGATTCATCCATGTTGTAGTGTGTATCTGTGCTCCATTCCTTTTTATAGCTGAATAATATTCCAGTGTATATTTGGACCACCTTTTGTTGATCATTTATCAGCTGAAGGACATTTGAGTTTCTACCTTTGGCATTTGTGAGTAGTGCTACTGTGAACATTCGTGTACGAGTGTTTGTGTACTTGTTTTCAATACTTTTGGGTATATAAGTAGGCGTAGAGTTGCTGTATCATTTTACATTTGCACCAATATGAACAAAGGTTCCAGTTTCTCCACATCTTTGCCAATGCTTATTTTCCATTTAGTTGATTATAGCCATCCGAGTGCTTGTGAGCAGTTTCTGTAGGTTCGATTTGCATTTCCCTAGTGAATAATGCTGTTGAGCATTTTTTCTTGTGCTTATTGGCCATTTGTATATCTTCTTTGGAGAAATGTCTATTCAGATTCTTTGCCCACTTTTTTTTTTAAGATTTTTAAAAATTTATTTATTTGACAGAGAGATAGAGAGCACAAGTAGGCAGAGTGGCAGGCAGAGGGAAAGGAAGAAGCAGGCTTCCAGCCGAGAAGGGAGCCCGATGTGGGGCTCGATCCCAGGACCCTGAGATCATGACCTGAGCCGAAGGCAGCCACCTAACCGACTGAGCCACCCAGGTGCCCCTGCCCACTTTTTTAAAATTTTATTTATTTATTTTAGAGAGAGAGAGCACGAGTGGGAGGGTCAGAGAGAATCTCAAACAGACTCCACACTAAGTGGGGAGCCTGATGCAGGGCTTGATCCCATGACCCAAAGAACACAAGCCCAGCAGAAATCAAAAGTCAGACGCTTAACCAACTGTGCCACCCAGGCGTCCCTGCCCATTTTTAAATTGAGTTGTCTTTTTGTTGTTGAGTTGTAAGAGTTTTTCATATATATTCTGGATAATAGACCCTTATCAGAATATGATTTGCAATTTTTTCTTCCATTCTGTAGCTTGTCTTTCCACTTTCTTGATAGTGTCCTTTGACGCACAAAAGTTTTTAATTTTGATGAAGTCAAATTTATCTATTTTCGCTTTTGTTGTCATATCTAAGAATCCATTGCCAAATCCAAGATCATGAATATATACCCTTATGTTTTCTTCTAAGAGTTGTATAGTTTTTGTTCTTGTGTGTAGGTCTTTGATCCATTTTGAGTTGGTTTTTGTATATGGTGTGAGGTAATGGTCCAATTCATTCTCTTATATGTAGATATCCAGTTGTCCCAACACCATTTATTGAAGAGACTATTCTTTCTTTATTGAATTGTTTTGGCACCCTTGTTGAATATCAATTGACCACAGATACATGGGTTTACTTCTGCACTCTCACTTTAATTCCATTGGCCTATCTGTCTGTCTTTATGCTGGTCCCACATTGTTTTGATTATTGTAGCTTTTGTAAGAAGTTTTGAAATTGGGAAGTGTGAGTCCTCCAAATTTGTTCTTCCATTTCAATATTGTTTTGGCTATTCAGGATCCCTTGCAATTCCATATGAATTTGAGGATGGGCTTTTCCATTTCTTAAAAAAAAAAAAAAAACAACTATAGGAGTTTTTATAAGAAATGCCTTGATTCTTTAGAACATTTTGGGTAGTATTGCCATCTTAACAATTATTAGTCTTCCAACCCATGAACAAGGGATGTCTTTCCATTCATTTATGTCTTTTTTCATTTCTTCCTTTTTTTAAAGATTTATTTATTTATTAGAGAGAGAGAGAGCGTGCACACAGGGGGAAGGGGGCAATGGGAGAGGGAGAGAGAGAATCCCAAACAGATTCTCTGCTGAGCATGGAGCCTGACACAGGGCTCAATCTCATGATCCCAAGATCATGACCTGAGTTGAAATCAAGAGTCAGACACCCAACCAACAGAGCCACCCAGGTTTTTTCATTTCTTTCTGCAGTGTTTATAATTTTCAGTGTACAGTCCTTCACTTTCTTGTTTTATTTCTATGTATTTTATTCTTTTGGATGCAACTGTAAATTGGACAGTTTTCTTAATTTTCTTATCAGGTTGATCATGGCTAGTGTAAAGAAACACAACTGATTTTTATGTGTAGATCTTCTACCCTTTAATTTTGCTAAATTCTTTTATTAGCTTTCTTTTTTTTTTTTTAATTTTATTTATTTATTTGAGAGAGAGAGAATGAGAGACAGAGAGCACGAGAAGGAAGAGGGCAGAGGGAGAAGCAGACCCCCTGCTGAGCAGGGAGCCCGATGTGGGACTCGATCCCGAGACTCCAGGATCATGACCTGAGCCGAAGGCAGTCGCTTAACCAACTGAGCCACCCAGGCGCCCCTTTTATTAGCTTTCTTGTGGATTCTTTCTTTATTGGGTTTTCTATCTATAGGATCATGTCATCTGTGGATGTAGATAGTTTTACTTCTTCCTTTCCAATTTGGATGCCTAATACTTCTTTATCTTGTCTAACTGCTCTGGCTACAACTTCTAGAACAATGTTCAATAGCAGTAATGACAGTGGGCGTCTTTGTCTTGTTCTTGATCTTATGGGGAAAGATTTCAGTCTTTCATCATTGCATAGGATGTTGGCTGTGGGTTTTTCAAAAATGCGCTTTATCATGTAGAAGAAGTTCTTTCCTATACCTAGACTATTTCTAGAATTCTTGTATCTATTCCCAGAATAGTGTTTTCCTCATGAAAGTGTGTTAAGTTTTTTCAAATGCTTTTCCTGCATCAACTGAGATGATCGTGTGAGTTTTTCCCTCTTAGTGCTATTAATGAGGTACATATCATTGTTTGATTTTTTTTTTAAGGATTTTATTTATTTTTCAACAGAGAGAGACACAGCGAGAGAGGGAATACAAGCAGGGGGAGTGGGAGAGGGAGAAGCAGGCTTCCCGCGGAGCAGGGAAGCCCATGCAGGGCTTGATCCCAGGACGCTGGGATTGTGACCTGAGCTGAAGGCAGACACTTAATGACTGAGCCACCCAGGCGCCCCCATTGTTTGATTTTTGTATGTTGAACCATCCTTCCATTTCTGGTATAATTTCAGTTAGTCATGGTGTATAGCATCTTAATATGCTGTTAGATTCAGCTTGCTAGTATTTTGTCGAGGACTTTTGCATCAGTATTCATGAGGGATATTGGGCTGTAGATTTATTTTCTGGGGGTCTTTGCCTAACTTTGGTATCAAGGTAATATTGGTCTCACAGAATGAGTTAGGAAGTATTCTCTCCTCTTTTTGGAAGAGTTTCCTAAGGATTTTTGCTAACTCTTTAATATTTGGTAGAATTCACCAGTAAAGGCATCTGGTCCTGGTCTTCTGTTGTTGTTACTGGAGATTGTTGTGTTTTGTCCTTCGTCTCTGGTTTTATTTATTTGTGTCCTTTTTTTTTCTTGATAAGTCTGGCTAAATGTTTATCAGGTTTTTGGATTTTTTTTTTAATCTTTCCAAAGAACCAGCTCTGATTTCACTGATCTGTTCTATTTCATTTTTAGGCTCTACTTCATTTATTTCTGCTGTAATCTTTATTATTTCCTTCCTTCCACTGGCTTTGGGCTTTGTTCTTTTTCTTTTTCCTTTAGGTGTAAGGTTAGGTTGTTTATTTGAGCTTTTTCTTGTTTCTTGAAGTAGGCCTGTATTGCTATACAATTCCCTCTTAGAAGAGTTACTGTGTCCCTAAGATTTTGGACCACTATGCTTTCATTTTCATTTTTCTCCATGCATTTTTTAAATTCCTCTTTGATGCCTTGGTTGACCCATTCATTGTTTAGTAGCATGTTATTTATTCTTCATGTATTTGTGTTCTTTCCAGTTTTTTTTCTTGTGATTGCTTTCTAGTTTCATTCCATTGTGGTTGGAAAAGATGAGTGATATTTTTGAATTTATTGAATTTTTTAATTTATTGAGTTTTTTTGTGTGTGGCCTAACGTGATTTATTCTGGAAAATATTCCATGTGTACTTGAAAAGAATGTGTATTGTGTTTTCAGATGGAATGTTCTGCATACATCTGTTAGCTCCATCTTGTCTAATGGTTGCTGTTTCCTTGTTGATTTTCTGTCTGGGTGATCTATCCATTGATGTAAGTGGGGTATTAAAGTCCCATACCATTATTGTATTACTGTCAGTTTCTTCCTTTATATATTAAGTGCTCCTATGTTGGATGCATATTTTACAATTGTTATATCCTCTTGTTGGATTGATCTTTTTATCATTATGAAATGTCCTTCATTGTCTTTTGTTACAGTCTTTATTTTACAGTCTATTTTGTCCAATATAAGTATTGCTACTCCAGCCTTCCTTCTGCTTCCACTTGCATGGTAAATGTTTTTCCATCACTTTGCTTTCAATTTGCATGTGTCTGTAGGTCTGAAGTGAGTCTGCTGTAGGCAGCATATAGATGGATCTTGCTTTTTTATCCATTCAGTCACCTTATGGTTTTGATTGGAGCATGAGGCCATTTACACTTAAAGTAATTATTGATAGGTTTTATTTGTTGCCATTTTGTTATTTGTTTTACAGTTGTTTTCTTAGTTCTCTGTTCCTTTCTTCTCTTGCTCTCTTCCCTTGTGGTTTGATGACTTTCTTTAGTGTTATGCTTGGATTTCTTTTTATTTTTTGTGCATCTATTACATATTTTTGATTTGTGGTTACCATTAGGCTCAACTATAACATGCATACAGCAATGTATATTACTAAGTTAATGGTCACTTAAGTTCTAAAAGCACTAAATTTTTACTCCCCCAACCCCACGTTCTATGTATATGATGTCATATTTTATACCTTTTGTGAACTCCTTGACTGATTTTTGTAGATATTATTGATTTTACTGCTTTTGTGCTTTAAACTCCCTACTGGTTTTATAAGTGATTAACCTACTACTTTTATTATATGTTTGCATTTATCTGTGAAATTTTTTCCTTTCATAATTTTCCTATTCCTGATTATGACTTTTTTCCCCAAAGAATTCCCTTTAACATTTCTTACAAGGCTGGTTTAGTAGTGAATGCTTTTAACTTTTGTTTGGGAAACTCTTTATTGCTCCTTGTATTATACCCTTGCTGGGTATTTTTGGTTGTAGGGTTTTTCTTTTCAATACTTTGAATATATCATGCCACTTTCTTCTGGCCTGCAAAATTTCTGCTGAAAAATCAGCTAGTAGCCTTATAGGGTTTCCTTTGTATGTAACTTTTTTTTTCTCTCTTGCTGCTTTTAAAATTCTTTATCACTACCTTTTGCCATTTTAATTATTAAGTGTCTTGGTGTGGACCTCCTTGGGTTGATTTTGTTGGGTACTCTCTTCACCTCGGGAGGAAGGGATTTTCTGTCCCTTCTGTCTGTTTGCTTCCCCAGATGAGGGAAATCTTCAGATATTATTTTTTCAAATAAATTTTCTGCCCCCTTCTCTCTCTCTTCTCCTTCTGGGATCCCTATAATGTGAATATTATCACACTTGATGTCATTGAGTGCCCTTAACCTATTCTCATTTTTTCTTTTTCATTTTTCCTTTTTTTTTTTTGTTATTCAGCTTGGTTGCTTTCCATTACCCTGTCTTCCAACTCACTGATTTGTTCTTCTGCCTCCTCTAATCTGCTATTGATTCTCTCTAGTGTATTTGTTATCTCTGTTATTGAGTTCATCTTTAGCTGGTTCTTTTTTTTTTTTAATCTCTTTGTTGAGGGTCTCATTGAGATTCTCCACCCTCTCCTCAAGTCCTGTAGTATCTTTATGACTACTACTTTGAATTCTTTATCAGGCATATTGCTTATTTCCATTTCATTTAGTTCTTGTGCTGTGATTTTTGTCCTGTTCTTGATTTGGGACATATTCCTCTATCTCCTCATTTTGTCTGTGTTTGTTTCTATGGGTAGGAAAGTCTGCTACATCTCTTGATCTTGAAAGTAGTGGCCTTATGAAGAAGAGGACCTGTGGTGTCCTGCCGCACAATGCTTCCTGTTCACCAGAGCAGGCACTTCAGAGATGTCTCCCATGTGGGCTATGTGTGTCCTACTGTTGTGCCTGAGATGCATTTGCCTTCAGTTCAGTCAACTGCAATGGCTCTCTTTGCCTGCTATGGGTCTGGAGCCACTGTTGGGCACTGTCAGCAGTCAGGCCAGACGCCTGTCCTCAGCCCATCTGCTGGGGTATCACACCAAACTGCAGGGTGCTCTTCCTATGCTGCCCTCTGAGAGGCTTTGGTTGCAAGGTTTTTAATTATTGATTCAATGTCTTTAACTGTCATAGACCTGTTGAGATTCTATTCCTTCTTAAATCAGTTTTGGTAATTTGTGTGTTTCTCGTAGTTTGTCACGTATTGTAGAATTGTCTTTCTCTTTTTGTTCTGCTAATGTTTGATGCATATATTTGGGGGCTCTGTCGCTTGGTATGTAAATGGTTATAACTTTTGTCTTCTTGATGAATTGACCACCTCATTGATGTATAATGTCCTTGTTTGTCTCTTGTAACAATTTTTGACCAAAAGTAGATGTGGTCTGCTATTAGTTGCCCACTCCAGCTCTTTTGGTTATTATTTACTTGGAATATCTTTTTCCATCCTTTCACATTCAAGCCATTTGTGTCTTTGGATCTAAAGTGAGGCTCTGATAGACAGCATATATAGTAGGATCATGTTTTTTCATCTATTCTGCCAATCTCTGTCCTTTAATTGGTTTGTTTAATCTATTTACCTTTAAAGTAATGAATGCTAAAAAAAAAACCACTAACTTCTTACACTGTTAGCTGTTTTCTGTGAGTTTCATAATTTTCTGTTCATGAATTCTTTCCATCCTTGTCTGTTGTGTTTGATTTTTTTTTTTTTCCCACAATGGTACACTACCATTCTGAGTCCTCCTATTTCTTTTCTGGATGTTTTATTTTCTTACCGGTTACCCTGGTGATTATAATTAATATCTTAAATTCAGAAAAATCTAATTTGAACTGATACAAATTTAGCTTTAATAATGTATTAGGGTTCGGGCGCCTGGGTGGCTCAGATGGTTAAGCGTCTGCCTTAGGCTCAGGTCATGATCCCAGGGTCCTGGGATCGAGTCCCGCATTGGGCTCCCTGCTCAGCAGGGAGCCTGCTTCTCCCTCTGCCTCTCTCTCTGTCTCTTATGAATAAATAAAATCTTTAAAAAAATAAAAAAAATAATGTATTAGGGTTCTCCAGAGAAAAAGAACCAATAGGATGTGTACATATAGACAGAGATTTATTTTAAGCAATTGGCTGACATAATTATGGAGGCTGGCAAGTCCAAAATCTGCAGGGTAGGTTAGATAGGACTTAGATTCACTAAGTGCTCCCCTGGCTGAAGTATTCTATTAGAATCCATGGTTCTACAGAATTTGATTCTGTCATTTTTTGCCAGCTTATTGGTTATTTCAGTGGAGGGACCAATTCTGGGAGCACCTGCCTCTACCATTTTCCATGATGTTACTATTTATATTTTTTTAATGTTTAATTTTGAAATTATAATAGATTCAAAGGAAGCTGCAAAGATAGTACAGGAATGTCCCATGTACCCTTTACCCACTCCCCCCAATAACATCTTGCATAATTATAATACAATATCAAAACCAGGAATTTAATATGCACAGTGCAGCACAATGAATTTTAAAAGTTCACTTCAAATGAGACTTAACCGCATGAAATTTCATAACATCATGGATAAAGAGATCCAAAAAGCTTTCAGAGAGAGAAAAAAGAAGTCACATATAGAGAATCGATAATCTGAGTGGAAAACAACAGAACAATGCCTTCAAAATTCTGAGTGAAAGTTTTTTGTTTTTTTGGGTTTTTTTTAGAATTATATGTCCAGCGATGCTATTGACGAAGTATGAGAATAGAAGAGCCATTTTCAGATCTGCCAAGTCTGAGAAGCCATGATGAGATGTTCTTCCCCATCCCATGAGAGGAAAGAGAAAGAGGAAGGCAGGGAAGCAGGGAAAGAAGGGCTCCAGGAGAGGAGAAGATCAAGGAAATGTCCAGAAATGCCCACAAAAAGGGATGACAGCCACATGGTCAGAGAGTAAGGCCTGACTTCCAGAAAGGATGGCGCTAGGGAAACTGGGAGGGTGTGTGCTGCCCAAAAAGACTGACCTGTGGAAAATGACGTCACAAGGTACTGCAGAGAGCGATGAAGAGTGTGGAAGGACTCAGCCAGAGACCTTTAAAAATATAATTAAATAAATGAAAAGAATAAGACAATTATTATCCCCAAGGGGGGAAAAGTTGCATAAGAAAGAAAATGTAATTATGGCTTGGCAATAAGCAATAGCGATGTATTTGTATTTTCAGAATTATGGAAACTCTGAATGTGCTTTCAACCATAAACAATATAGCTATTTTGGGGGAATAGGAGTGGGGAGGAAGAGATAAAAGAGATAAAATAATACTTTAGCAAAAAGGTAAGTAATATCTAGATAATGTCTAAAATTGGCAAATCAAGAAATAGCAGGATATGCTTATTTAGAAATCTAGCAGTAAAAGCCAAAAACTGCCAAAAGAGTTGAGCATCCCCTCAGAAGCGTAGAAATGTGCTTTGCAGAAGGAGTAAGGGGGGTTATTTTACCATAAATCTTTTAACTCAGTTTTACCAGGAGCTATAAGCATAAAATATTCTGGTAAAAATATAAATGAATATCATTTCATTTTAGATTAGAAATACTATTATCAAACAAAAAGCACTATCTAAAAAACCGGTAGAACACAGTTCTACTCATCCTTTATCGGGGAGGCCTTCTCTGAAGTGTTTAGAATTCAAAGCAGACTGAAAGATTTTACATTCTCCTTGTGAAAACAGGAAAGTTCAAATTCCCACCTGGAAGTACCTTAAAACTAACGGGACAGCTCAAGCTCACAAACACTTTCGCCACCATCTCATCACAGTGGCTCCATGTGCATGAGCCTCCCCATGGATGGGTGTGAACAGTGACAAGTAACACAAGCCTTCAGCCCCGGAGGTCGCTGGTCCCAGAACCCAGGACAAGCCAGCCACAGCCTGAGGGCAGAGCGCTTTGCTCCCTTGACCAATTCCAACTGTGTGGTGGGAGAGCTCACGGTACCATCACCACACACGTCACTGTGGGGGTGGACGCCCCTATTCCAACGTGTGCAGACCTGCACTAACAGTGGTGAGAAGGTTGCACGGCGGCAGCATCTGACGTGACCAACGGTGGCCAGATATGTGTGAAGAGACTGGCAGTGCAGACGGTTGGCCAAGGGGCATGGGAGGGAAACGGGGAGTCATCAGGAAAGAGCGGAGTTGTTTAGAAAGATCCCAAGAGTCAGCAGAAAATTGCTGGGAGCTGCTGCCCAGGGGAAGACACACAAGGCACAAGAGCAATCTGACAACACTGGCCCGGGGGTGGCTGGCCTGTGGGCAGCGGTGGCGTGGCAGCTTTGCGGCCCTCGCCCTCCTAGGGGTCTTCCCTTCTTTGGGTCTCACTCTGCAACAGACGGGCCTCCTGTCTTGAGAGGTCACGGCCGAAAAGCCCGGTGGAGGCTGTGACCAGGCAAGGGGCAGATTCCAGCAGATTCCACACCTCTCCCAGACGGGGCGAACCATATTCAAGGCTCGCTTATTTCTTCCTTTCCTTCTTCCTTCCTTTTTTTCTTTTGTTCTTTCTTTCTTTCTTCTTTAATTTTTTTGGGTGAGGCATCTGATTAAAGACTGAGGCAGTTTAGCCCTAGTTTATGAGGAAAGAGAATGTGACAGAGTCCACAGCTCAGAGTGACACATCACACACGCCACACTGCCCACACACACTATGCTCACCAGGCAGGCGGGCTCTCTACATGTGGTCACCTTACTGGTGCATCCGTGGAAGAAGAGAGAGCCAGCGGCAGATCGTGACCTTGGGTTCAAGGTGAAGGTCTTCTGCAAACTTAAGCTTCAGCAGGAAGTTCTTAAAGGAGGCTGAGCCACACGGCTCCCGTTTGCTGACTGAGGCACCGAGTGTGTACACACATGCTGCAGACAGACAGACAGACCAACCGTGGGAAGCGGGGCCCAGAGCAGCACAGTATGGAAGGTCAACAGGGTGAGGGTTTCAAGGCAGGAGTATTAGGATTCCCTAAACAGAGGGAAGCAGGAAACTCTCTGACTTTCCTATGAAGTATGAAGATGACTGTTGACCAATTAAGTGTCAAATCCCTTTCTAACAGTCCAGCCACTAGGAAACCAAGGAATGTTTGTGAAGCTCAAGAAGATGCTAGAAATGGCTTTTGCCACTAAAAGAAAGGAGCCAGTGGCAGTCACATGGCTGGGTGCTGGCCTACAGCAAGTGAGGAGCAGGACTCCCCCCAGCCCCACAGCGCTGATGCAAGGGCACAGGGCATTCTTTATAAGAACATGTGCAAATATTCAGATCCTGCCCAAAATGAAAAAACCCTCCCATCTGATCGGTCTGGAACTACTCGTGAAAGCCTCTTTTCTGATGATACACTAATTCTAGGAAATGTTTAAGCAAGCAGGTACTGAGAACAGCTTGGGAGATGCTGAACTGCCTCTCTTGGAGACCAGATAACCAATATCCAAGTCTTCCTGGGAAATAAATCCTGCCATGAAACAAGGAGATGAATTAGGAGGAGGATAAACTAATGGCGGTTTCCATTCCAGAAGATACTAAGGAGCACAGGGCTGGAGACGCATGCAGCCGCACCTTGAAACACCCAGCGCCGCACACCATGCACATGGTTAGCAAGATGCTAAATTCTCTATGGGGTTAAAGAGCACTATAGTTACCACTGTTCATCATAAGGTGCAGGTGCAGACCCCGTTAGCTCACAGCGCGCTCAGAATTTTCAATTATCCACTCAATAGCAGCCCACCCCTGGAGCAACACAGAAAGAGTTCAACATGGTGTAAGAAATTCTGCTTCCCTCGCTGCAGACAGCAGGCCTCAGCCTGCACTTCAAAGGGCACGAGGAAAGCGTGGCCCGTTTTATTTTTTATTTAAATATTTATTTATTTATTTATTTATTTTGGTAGCATGGTCCGTTTTAAAAGAGATACAGCAGTCACCGTTCCTGAACAATCTTCACTGGAGCGGGTAGTTTCTCAAGCTCAGAAATCAGGTGGTAGATACTCTGCCTGAAATTCTCACACCGGCTTGGGCTGTGCCCACCACGGCACCCATCAGCTGCACTGTCCCCTCCTGAGAGCCTGACCAGCGGGTGGCCTCGCAGCCTCCTCAAGGGCCCATCCCACCCAAACCCCAGGATGACCTGCTCTCCTTCTCCTGTCTCCTGGGCATGCTACCACGTGGCAACACAGGTCAGGGGAGGAAGTGATTCTCTGGCAGGCCTTCAACATGCAACCCCTCACATAAAGTGAAATAAAAGACTTTCATTTGGCCTCACTGAGTTTCCTCTGCCTTTTCTCATAAGAGGTCTCGGGGTGGCTTTGGCCTCACCAAGTAGTCCTTTCCTCCTGTAACTTATTTTTTCCAGCAAACATTTAGGGCGCCTGCCCCAGGCCAGACCCTGGACTCACAAAAGTGAGTACAGTTCTGTCTCCTCCCCAGAGGGCCTGCAGTATGGACACGAGGCAGTCAGCTCTGGGCACTGTGTTTGCCCTGCCTTCCCTGAACTGAGCTGAGTGACTGTCAACATTGCTCAAATTTGGATTTTTCTTAAAAACAGGGCAGACTGGCTCTTCTGTCAGTGCTGCGGCTACATGCAAGGCAGAAGTAGTTTTCCCGTTAAATTGTGACAAGCATGGTAGGCATCCCACTGGTCCCCCAAATGGAGAATTACTTCTGATCAAAATAAACCAGGAGAGAGGAGGGACGGGGAGGACAGCCAGGAAGACATCGGCCTGGGAGGGAAGCGAAGGTGAGAAGCGAAGGCCCTGCTCTGGCAGGTGACGTTACCTTGAACTCGTGCAATGGCTGCCACACATCCAAGCTCTTTCCATGGCTCGCTCTGCTGGAAGGAGGACAACCTGGACTCCGTGAGCAGTGTCTGCCTCACGAAGGCAGCCCTCCCGCTAGGGACCTGGGGTCCCACCTTTCTCCTGCCACCTCCACAGACCTTACTCCCCAGTCCTGCCAGAGGGGAGGCACAGAGACGGGAGTTAAGTCTGGGGGAGCTTGGCAGACGGGAGGCTCAGCCAAAGCCTGTTCAGTGGGAAACTACGATTCCTGACCACCCTGCCTGACAACGCTCATGTGCGGGGTTTGTCCTGCGCACTGAGCCTTGTGCTAGTTGGCTCCCTGACGCTGTACTTGCCTCCACTGCCTTTGTGTCCCACGTTCACCCAACGCTTTCCCCCAAGGCCCGGGACAGCTTTCCCTGCGGCCGGTTTTGACCGTGACAGTGGAAAAGGCTGTGACATCACAAGCTCGCTGGCGATGGAGGGCCACAGCCCTCGGTAGGATGATACATTTCAGCCCCTTAATCTGGCCCCTGGCGTGCACACGGGGCCCGGGACCGAGAGCCGTACCTTCTTTGCATTGGATGATATCGTGTTGGCCATCAAACTCTCCAGATAGCTGCCGAGGCTGATCCCCTTCACAGTGATGATGGCTTCTTGTGTGAGCACAGTCCTGCAGAAGAGCAGCCAGGAAAGGGGCTGAGTAGCCCTGACCAAGGGTAGGCTCCGGCCCACCCCAAGCCTGGAATTCAACGTGTCAATCCCAGGATGCAGTGACTTACATTTCAGGGTCCTCTGGATGCGGAGTGTACACCAACCTCTCGTTCACCGACACCAGGTTTGTGAGTGTGATCTTGAAACAAAAAATGGCTTTAGCTTCTATTTCTCTTGCATTTCTTCCCAGACATCTGCCCATACCCTTCCATCCCCAAATCAGCACTCGCTGAAGCCAGAAGAGAAGAAACATTTAGGCCCTGGGAGTGCCACCACGTTAAGTCCCAGGGAAACCTAGTCCTGGCCACTCCTTCCGGCGACCGTCACCTGTCCTCTACACCCAAACCTAAGTCTGGCCTGGCCTTCAAGGCACTTTCAAACCGCCAAGCCATCAGCAGTCATACAAAAGCATAATCCTTCTGGGTTAGCATCCAGGTAAATGAGCACAAAGCTGCTGATAAGCTTTTTTTATAGAATACGATTTTATAAAAATAGACCATGTCTAGCCCATGCATTTTCCCCAACACATTTTTTAAATGTGCAGTAAGCCAATATAAATTCTTTTGAGTGAGAGAGGAGTGAAGGGAAAAAGGTGCTTGTAAAATTACTGCTAAAAATCACCTCTGCTGTTGGAAGTCAGGATAGTGGTTATCTTGAGGGTGGGGTGGGGGCGCCCACCAGAAGGGAGCACAAGGGGAGCTCCTGGGGGATGGTCACACTCTGTCTCTGATCTGTCTGCTGGTTACAAAGGTGTGTTCACTTTGTGACAATTCATTATCTGTGTTTTTCTGTACATTTATTATACTGGAATAAAAAGGTAAATAAAATACTGCTAAATAAATTTAGCCTTTCTACTAAAAATAAAAGATCACTTAGACCAAAGGTGGGCTGGAAATAAAATTAAATGAAGACATTACCCACCACACCAGGAAATACCAAGCACCTTTCTCATCTTAGGCCATTGCTTACGTTGGTGGAACAAAGTTCCATTTTCTTTTCTACTGGATCCACAACAGAATGTTCTTTGATGTATGTCAAAGTCCTACTGGTTCCCAAAATCTAAAAAACAAAGCAAAACTAGCATAGTGACATGTCAAAAATTTCATTCTGTAGCATCAAACACAAATTTCATTCACTAATTAAGTCCTTTATCTATTCAACGAAAGACACAACTGGGGATCCAGCCACCGACAGCCCTGCACAGCTCCTCAGGTGCCTCTGCCCCAGCAGCCGAGGCCGCCATTGGTCCAGTGAATGAATTCAGGTAGAGGTGAGTGTAGGACAGTAATAAATGGCTTGACAGAAAAGAAAACGGCGAGGGGCAGGGAGCGTGGGGAGGGCCCTCTGCCGGGTGGCAGAGCCAGGAAGGGAGAGGCACCAGGCAGAGTCCTGGGGTTAGCTGGTGAGCTGCCGATGATGCCTCCTGGGCCCAGCCCCACGTGCTGAGCTCCTGGCGGAGTGAGAGGCCGGCATGGCAGGGGAGGGAGAAGGTGGGCTCACAGGGGTGTTGGGCCCATGTCAGCGCTGGGACTCTGTGCTGAGAAGAGAGCAGGGGCCCGGGGAGGGGCAGGAGGAAGTCGTGCTCGGCTTTACATTTTCAACGGCCTCCCTGATGGCTCTGCAGAAGAGACTTGTCATTGACTGAATGTGTCCCCCACAGCTCATATGTTGACGTCCTGACCCCCAGCACCTCAGAATGTGACTTGTATTTGGAAATAGGGCCTTTGGAGAGGTAATTAGGTTTAAATGGGGTTCATTAGGGTGGACCCTATCCTAGTCTGAGCAGTGTCCTTATAAGAAGGAGAAATTAGGACACACAGAGGGAGACAGCCAGGCTGCGTGAGGCGAGGGACCACCACCTACAGAGGCAGCAAGAGGGCAGCAGTCCGCCAGCCAAGGAGAGAGGCTGGACCGGACCCTCCCCTTACGGTCCTCAAGGAAATCAACCCGGCACGCGCCTTGATCTTGGACCTCCAGCTTCCAGAGCTATGAGCAAACAAGTGTCTGTTGGGGCCCCCAGTCTGTGGTATCTGGTTAGGGCGGCCCCAGTGGACACGGGGCGAGAGGGTTCTGGGCTGGTGGGGCCCGGGCCGAGGCTGGGGAAGCCGGGCCACACACCACGGAGATGGAAACTAAACGAAGTTTACAGAGAAACAAACCATCTCGCAGGCTTCTCTAAAGTCCTGAGTGGGTGCTCTAAGGAAAGGCTGTCACTTCCTGCAGATGGGCACTTGCCGGGCAGATGCAAGTGCAGCGGGGACAACCTGGGTGCAACCGGGTGGAGCCCGGGCGGGGCAATGCGGGTGTAGCCTGGGCACGCGGGGAAGCGGGCCATCGGAGGCGCGGCGGGGCAAGCAGTTGCAGGCTCACCGCTTTCACGAAGCCGGGTAGCCCCCACTCGGTGCTGAGGAGGCGGTGGCTGTGAAGCCGGCCCCGGCTGTCCACACTGCGCTCCAGCACGTCAACTCCCACGACACAGGGGTTCATTGGATTCGGGTACTTCCTCATGGCAGCTTTGATGACGGTGTCCCATGGGTGGCTGGTGGGAAACACATAACCACCCGGAATAAGCAGGCAATCCCTACATTTGTAAAGCGGGCCACAGTGGCCCAGGGCGGCCAAGATGCTGCGGCCCACAGAGTGAAATGAAAATCAATGTTAATGCTCTCATTAAACAGTTTTTCTTTTGGTTTTAATTAAAGTTATACTCAAACAAATCTATCTGAGGCATCCGGCTCCATACCCGGATCCGGGATCCTGCGATCCTTCTGGGCTGACCAGAGGCCATCAGGAGGCTTTGCCTGGCAGAACTCTCGGGACACTGGGGACACAGAGGTCTCAGGCTATTGGCAGCCCTGCTCAGTGTGTCTGCATTCCCAGCCCAGATGCTGCACTCACAGGCCACCCCAGCACTGGGGCCTTGGCTGAGCTACTTCCCTCCCTCCACTCAGCACCTTCCTGTCCACATCTTCCACCACCACCAACCCCTTGCACTCCCCCAGTCCCTAAGAAGCAGCATCCTTTCCTTTGGGGCTTCTGGGTAGAGAGACATGTCTCCCCATCCCCAGCCTGTCACCTGCCCCGCCCATGCTGTTCCATGGTAGGGGTGGAACACTGGGAAGCTGGAGTTTATTTACCTCTTTGCCTGCACTATTGCGGTGAATGAAGGCTTGGCTGTGACTTCCAGCTGGGCTCCTGGACCTAACTGACCACCTCGACACCTGGAACTCAACGCTAAAATAGTACAGTAATGCACCTGCCTTATGTGTATCTAGAACAGGCTACTACTCCCAGCTAGTGATGCTCTACTGAGAACCAACTATAGTTGACCCGTGAGCAACACTGGTTTGAAGTGCGTGGGTCCACTTATATGTGGATTTTTTTCAATAAATACAGAATAGTACTGTAAATGTATTTTCCTTATGATTTTTTTTTTAAGATTTATTTATTTTAGAGAGAGAGAGTGCAAGCAGGTGGAAAGGGCAGAGGGAAAGAGAGAGAGAGAGAGAATCTCAAGCAGATTCCCCAATGAGCACAAAGCCCAACGTGGGGCTTGATTTCACGCCCCTGAGATCATGACCTGAGCCAAAATCAAGAGTCAGACGCTTAACCAACTGAGCTACCCAGGCGCCCCTTCTTTATGATTTTCTTAATAACATTTTATTTTCTCTAGTTTATTGTAGGAATACAGTATATATTACACATAATATATAATAATATAATATGTAGTATTATATATAATGTATAATACATATGTATATACATATATAAAATATGTGTTAACCAACTGTTTATGTTATCAGTAAGGTCCATATTAGGCTTTAAGCAGTTAATTGCTGGGGGAATCAAAAGTTATACATTATTCTTATCTACAGAGTCTGTGCAACCCCTATTAAAATACCATTAACATCACCCCAATATTTATAGCAATAATGTTCACAATAGCCAAACTATGGGAAAAGCCTAGATGTCCATCAACAGATGAATGGATAAAAAGGATGTGGTATATATATACAATGGAATATTATGCAGCCAACAATAAAATGAAATCTTGCCATTTGCAACGATGTGGATGGAACTAGAGGGTATTACGCTAAGCGAAATAAGTCAATCAGAGTAAGACAAGTATCATATGATCTCATTGATACAAGGAATTTGAGAAACAAGACAGAAGGGAGGAAAAAATGAAACAAGATGAAACTGGAGAGGGAGACAAACCATAAGAGACTTTTAATCTCAGGAAACAAACTGAGGGTTGCTGGATGGTGGGGGTGGGAGGGATGGGGTGGCTGGGTGATGGACATTGGGGAGGGTATGTGCTATGGTGAGTGCTGTGAATTGTGTAAGACTGATGAATCATAGACCTGTACCCCTGAAACAAATAATACATTATATGTTAATAAATTTTTTTAAAAAAAACCACATGTGGTTTATCTAAACTCTCAAAAAAATACCAATAACATTTTTCACAGAACTAGAACAAATAATACTAAAAATTGTTTAGAACCACAAAAGACCCCAAATAGCCAAAGTAATCTTGAGAAAGAAGAACAAAGCTGGAGGTAACACAACCCCAGGTTTCAAGCTATAATACAAAGGTGTAGTAATGAAAACAGTATGGTACTGGCTCAAAAACAGACACAAAGATCAACAGAACAGAATAGAGAGCCAGAAATAGACTGACACTTACATGGTCAATTAATCTACCACGAAGGAGGCAAGAATATAAAATGGGGAAAAGACAGTCTCTTCAGTAAATGTGCTAGGAAAACTGGACAGCTCCATGCAAAAGAATGAAACTGGACCACTTTCTTACACCATACAAAAAAATAAAACTCAAAATGGATTAAAGACCTAAATGTGAGGCATGAAACCATGAAACTCCTAGAGGAAAACAGGCATACATTGTTTGACATTGGCTGTAGCAATATTTTTCTAGATATATCTCCTAAGGCAAGAGAAACAAAAGCAAAGAGAAATTATTAGGACTACACCAAAACAAAAAGCTTTTTGCACAGTCCAGGAAACCGTCAACAGAAAAAAAAAGGCAACCTAGGGAATGGGAGAAGATATCTGCAGATGATATATCTAATAAAGGGTTAATATCTAAAATATATAAAGAATTTATTCAATCCAACACCAAAAAAGTAAATAATTCAATTAAAAATGAGCAGAGGACCTGAATAAACGTTTTTCCAAATGGGCCAACAGATACACAAAAAGATGCTCCAGATCACTAATCATCAGGGAAATGAAAATCAAAACCACAATGAGCTATCATCACCTTATGTCTGATTAAGAGACATAAGGGAGTTAGAATGGCTAAAATAAAAAGACAAGAAATAACAAGTGTTGGTGAGAACACGGAGAAAAAAGAACCCTTGTGCACTGTTGGTGGGAATGCAAATTGGTGTAGCCACTATGGAAAACAATATGAGGTTTCTCAAAAAATTAAAAATAAAATACCATACAATTCAGTCATTCCACTACTGGGTATTTACCCAAAGAAAACAAAAATATTAATTTGAGAAGCTATATGCACCCTTATGTTTACTGCAGCATTATCTATAATAGCCAAGATATGGAAGCAATCCAAGTGTACATTGATAGATGAATGGATAAAGAAGATGTGGTATATATGTTTATACAATGGAATGTTCCTCAGCCATAAAAAAAGGTGAGACTTTGCCATTTGTGACATGGATGGACCTAGATGGCATTATGCTAAATGAAGTAAGTCAGACAAAGAGAGTCAAATACCATATGACCTCACTCATACGTGGAATCTAAAAAACAAAACAAATGAATAAACAAATAAAATGCAGAAATAGATGCAGAAATGCAGAGAACAAACTGGTGGTTGTCAGAGGGGAGAGAGGTAGGGGGATGGACAAAATGCGTGAAGGGGAGTGGGACAGACCAGCTTCCAGTTATGGAGTGAGTACCTCATGAGTACAAAAGATACAGCATAGGGAATGTCGTCTAGCGTTATGTGGTGCAGATGGTGGCTACCTGTGGTGAACACGGCATAACACACAGAGATACTAAATCACTGTGATACACCTACAACTAACATAACATCGTGTCAACTACATTCAACAGAAATATTTAAGAAGTAGTAGTACTTTGTAACTAATTGTAAGAGAAAGAAAGGTAAAGTGACCATACATTCCAGTTTGTCCAGGACAATTCCAATTTTTGCCTTTTGTCTTATTGGACATATTAAGAGTGTCCTCTTTCACCTTCAAAGGTATCCCAATTTGGATGATAAACTATATCCCAATTTGGATGAAAAGTTAATCCTGAAAATAAGGAGAGAGGAGGACTCAAGAATGATGCCCAAGTTTCTGGCTTGAACAACTGTGTGGCTAGTTGTGCCATTTACTGAAAGGGGATTTTCTTTTTAAAGATTGTATTTGAGGGGCGCCTGGGTGGCTCAGTCGTTAAGCATCTGCCTTCAGCTCAGGTAATG